TGTACATGCATGCCCAAGATCCCGAGAGGAGAATGGAGGAGAAGGGATTGCGGCATGGCCATCCTCCCTGAGGGGTGAGTTCTTGCTTTCTGTCCCTTTCTGGATTTCTGACAAGTGCATGCACCCTATAGCAAAAACCTCTCAAGAAAAGAAAAGAAAAAACAGCTCATCTTCTGCCCATAGAATGATGAACAGTACGTGTCTGGTTTATCACTGTATTTCCAGGCAATTTGTTAAGAAAATAACAAGTCGTAGGACCAGCAGTTAGTGTAATGACTGTGTTGCTGGACTCCCATGTAATCAACCACAGTTCAAGTCCCGGACCCAGTGGCTTAAACTCATGCCGGGCGTGTGAGCATGCATGCCCAAGATTCCGAGAGGAGAATGGAGGAGAAGGGATTGTGGCGTGGCCATCCTGACCCTGGGGGATGATTTCTCTCTTTCTGTCTCTCTATCTCTCTGTCTTTCTGGCGAGTGCATGCGCCCTATAGCAAAAACCTCTCAAAAAAAAAAAAAAAAGAAAGAAAGAAAGAAAAAGAAAATAACAAGTGGAATGCAGAGGCCCCAAACCTGAGAGTTGCAAGCCCCAGTGTATCTGGAGGACTTCATAGCTCCTTGCGTAGAACACAATTTGAGACAGAGATGAGAGCTCAAAGCAGTTTATTCAAGAGAATCAGGGTGTGGACAAACCAGGTGCGCCTCCAGAAACCAGCAGGTGTAACTTGGCTGTCAGTGGATCCTCAGTGAGGGGTGCCCTGCGGAAGAGATCACGTGAGGACACAGCCAGGTGCAAGCAGGTTCCCACCACACCCCCATCCCACGCTGTCTCACCTCCTTTTTCCTGCAATCGCCACAGAAAACGCCAATGGTCGCGTTCACCAGCTGTATCCCACACAGCACAATCTCCAGGCACGAGGCGGCCACCAGCAGCGAGAAGAGTGTCACATTCCAGGGGACCACGTTAGGTGGCTTCTCGCACGAATTCCACAGAGTGTCATTGAGCAAGTAAGAACCTCTGTAGGCCAGACAGAATCTCGTGAGAGAAGGTGGTCAAGAGGAGTGTCCTCCTCTCATCCCACCCACTTATCCAAGGAAATTTGCAAAGGGCTGGTTTGGTCCACGAGGAGAGAGCTCTCTGGAAGCCGAGCCCCTCCGAGGTTTCCCAGCCCACCTGGGGAGTGCAGGAAGGGAGAGGTGGCGAATGGGGGGTACACATCCAGGCTAAGCCTTACGTGGTACTTTCGAAGTGGTAGTCCCACTTGCCGTCGATTAAGCATTTGGGTCCAATTCGGAGCCCGGCTCCCGATACCGAGAGGCAATAGATGGCACCAAGCACCCCGAACGCCGAGGAGAAGACCGAGCGCAGCATCTGGGCGCGGTGTAGAAGGTGCAGTGAGTAGGGCCGCCCCTCCCACTCGTGGGCGGACCGCGCCTCGCTCCTCCCCCTACAGCACCGCGCTCGCCTCGAGTCAAGTTAGAAATACATTGCCCGTCAAACCCCGCTTGGAGGTAGGCTAACGCCAAGAGCCAGTGGCCGTGGAGGTTCATGGGGGTTGTAGTCCCCTCTGGTCAGACTCCTGGGGATTGAGAATTTGTGGGCGGAGCGACGAGTGCTTTGGAGCCCGGGATTCTGCAGAGGCGCTCTGGTACCTAGACATTCTATAGAGGCGGCTCTGCGAGGACGGGTTCAGAGACCTGGTTCTGACTCCCTTCTTAGTTCGGATCTTACCCTGCAGCGATTTCCACAGCAGCCTGCACCACAACAGCCCTTGCCCCCGGCCCGAACTGCTGCAATTCCGGGACATAGTACCTATGGGACAAGAGTCAGTATGATAGCGTGTCTCCCAGATCCTTGAGACCATACTTGCCTACCGCCTCCTGGAAGCTGCCTGTGAGGCCCTCAGCCCTTTGAACTATGGGAAGACCTTATCTTTACTTCTCTTGGAGGTTGTTGGGCTGTACATGAATTTATCATTATTTATGTGCCCACCTTATCTTTTTAGATTGTATCCTCCTAGAGGGTAGGGTCCAATATTATTATATTCCCCATAGATCTTGACATAGAGTAGGTGCCCGACTGAATGCAAGTCAGCTGTCTTGGGTTGAAGGCCAATCCTGCACTTCCTTGCACTCTTATGAATTGATTCATGGCTCTGGGCCTCTGTCCATGTAAAATGGGTCTGCAAAACCTACCTCACAGGGCTGTACTCAGGATTTAATAACAGGTTGAGTTGTGTCCAGACTGGCTCAGAGTAAATACTCGATAGCTAAATTCCTCAGCCACAGGAAGGGATAATGGTTGTGGAGTGTTTTGCGAGCTGGGTCCATGGTAGAGTGTAGAGTATGTAAGTGGACACTCTGGTGTGGTGTGTAGGCTTTCTCAAGATCCAGCCGCTGGTTTTGTTTTTTGTTGTTGTTTTTTTTCTCCTGTGGCCTTCCCCACAAAGTCCGTGCTCTCCCAGGAAATCGGCTGTTCCCTGTGCTGGTAGGCCTCTAGAATGAACGCCTCCAGAGTCAACGTCAACTGCCCAATGATATGTTCATTTGAAAGTCTATCTGCCTCATACTGACCTACAGTACTTCCAAATTCATCTCCCTTTGACTTTCTCCTTCTTTTCTTCTTCTTTCTTCCTTTCTTTTTGGTATAGGTTGTGTGTGCTCACCAGAGAGAGACAGAGTGAGAAAGTGAGAGATCATCCCCCAGAGGGAATGGCCACACTGTGATCCCTTTTCCTCCATTCTCCTTTTGGGATTTTGGGCACAAATGTACACGCGCCAGCGTGATTTTCAAGCCACCAGGTCCAGGACTCAAACCACAGCCAGATAGGATCCACTTGCCTTAACCTCCATGCCAACTGCTGGCCCAACTTTCTTTTGTAGGTTTTTGTCATAGGGCCCATGCACTCACCAGAGAGAGAAAAAGAGAGACAGAGAGAGGGAAAGCGAGAAATTACCTCCCAGGGTGGATGGCCATGCTGCAGTCCATTCTCCCTCATTCTCCTGGGATCTATAGCATGCACACATATGCACCCAGTGTGATTTTCAAGCCATTCAGGACTTGAACCATGGTCGGCCATATGGGAGTCCAGTGCCTTAACCACCACACCACCCACTGACTTTTTTTATTAAAAATCTTTTTCTAAAAGAATTATTTTATTAAACTTTATTTATTTATTTACTTTTATTTGTCCAGAGAGGGACAGAATGAGAAAAAGAGAAAAAGGGAAAGTGAGAAAACAAGCCACCAGGTCCGGGACTCAAACCACAGTCGACCACGTGGGAGTCCAGTGCCCTTAAACACCATGCCACCTGCCTGCTTAAAAAAACTTTTTAAGGGACCAGCAGATGGCGTAATGGTTACATTGCTGGACTCCTATGTAGTCAACTGCAGTTCAAGGCCCAGACCCTGCAACTTACAACTCACACTGGGCACATGCGCGTTGTGCCCAAGATCCCAAGATGAGAAAGGAGGAGAAGAGATTGTGGCATGGCCATCCCGCTGGGGGCGATTTCTCACTTTCTGGCTCTCCGGTGAGCACATGTGTCCTATAGCAAATATCTTTCTCTCTCTCTGAAAAAAAACCAGAAAAACTTTAAAAAAGGGTTATTGGTTTTCTTTCATGAGAGAGAGAGAGAAAGAGGGAGAGAGAAAGACAATTATTTTCAACAGGCTCACACCAAGATCCCCTCCAACAGCCTTCGCAGCCAGCCAGGATCATGGGCACATGCCTGGCATGTACAGGTTGGTGAGACTTGAACACACCATCTTCCATACGGGTCTAGCATGGCTTCAGCAGCGTGTCACTGCTGTGTCACCAGTTGGGTCCTCTCTTTGACTTTTTTGTCTCCATCAGTAGAAAGGCATCATCCTCCAGGTCACTAGGCTGGAAAACTTTACTTTTTCTTTCTCTTTCTCTCTCTCTCTTTCTTTCTCCTTCCTTCCCTCCCCCCTCCCCTTCCTCCCTTCCTTCCTTCCTTCTCTCTCTCTCTTCCTTCCTTCCTTCTCTCTCTCTCTTCCTTCCTTCCTTCTCTCTCTCTCTTCCTTCCTTCCTTCTCTCTCTCTCTTCCTTCCTTCCTTCTCTCTCTCTCTTCCTTCCTTCCTTCTCTCTCTCTCTTCCTTCCTTCCTTCACCACATTGCAATCCCTTCTCCTCCATTCTCTTCTCGGGATTCTGGGCATTTACTTACATGTGCCTGGCGTGTTTCAAGCTGCTGAATTCAAGACTCGAACCACAGTAGGCCATGTGGGAGTCCAGTGCCTTAACCATATATCACCTGCTGGCATTGGGGTTTACCAATTTTAATGGGAAAAAATTTGTTATAGGGCATGTGCACTCACCTGAGAAAGACAGAGAGATACTTATGTGGAGAGGAAAAATGAAAAATCATCTTCCATGGAGGATGATTACACAACAATCCCTTCTCCATTCTTCTCTCAGAATTTTGGGCATACATGCTCATGTGCTGAGCATAGTTTTCAAGCCTCTGTGTCCAGGTCTCAAATTGCTTACTTGACTGTGTGGGATGTGGGATCCAGCTACTTCAACCTCCATGCCACTGGCTGGCCCCCAGGATTTCCAGCTTTGAATGACCTACTAGTTAGAGACTTTTACTTTTTTGGTCAAAGCATTTGTTCCCTCTTGTGATCTGAGCTTCTCTACCTCACCCTCTAACATCTAACTATCTTTTTTTTTTTTTTTTTGAGAGATTTTTGCTATAGTGTGTTAACCAGAAAGAGAGAGACCGAGAGACAGAAAGTGAGAAATCACCTCCCGGGGGGATTTTCCCACAATCCCTTCTCCTGCATTCTCCTCTCGGGATCTTGGGCATGCATGCACACACTCCTGGCAAGAGTTTAAGCCACCACATCTAGGACTTGAACTGTGGTCGACTACATGGGAGTCCAGCGACATAGCCATTACACCAACTGCTGGTCCCATCTAACTGTCTTAATGAAAAGAGAAGAGTCATCCTAGATGAGTGTATGGCTTGAATCTATCTGCTCACTTTTCTCCCTGTCCATGGCCACTGGTCTAGTTCAAGCCACTCTCATCTTTTCTGGATGACCATAGTGGCTGGCCCCAGAGTGGTCTTTCTATCCCACATTCTGCATCATACCTATTACTCATCCTCCACACAGTGAATGACTAGAGAGCTTCTTCAGACCAGTGGGGTAATTAAAACTCTCACACTGTGCTGATGGGAATGGAAGTGGTACAAAAACTTCAGAAAACTCTCTGGCAATATCTGCACTAGATATTTGTACACCTTAGGAATCAGTAGATTTACTCCTAGCTATAGGCAGCTGAAATGCCCCTGGAAGTTCATAACGAACACATAATGTATATAGCAGCATCATTTGCAATAAACCCAAACCGCAAACTATCCAAATGTCTATCAACAGTAGAGTGCTTAAATAAATTGAGGAAGACAGGTACAGAAAGAGAAATATCACATGATCTCACTCATATGTGGAAATTACAAAAAATGACTTCAGAGAGGCAGAGTTGAAGAATAGACACTAGAGGCTGGGAAGCATGGGGATGGGGAAGAAAGTGATTAAATTTTTTTTTTTTTTTTTTTTTTTAGGTGGGAACAGCAGATGGAGCAATGGTTACGTCACTGGACTCCCACGTAATTGTGGTTTGAGTCCCCGACCCAGTAACTTAAAACTCATGTGAGGTGCATGTGCATGCATGCCCAAGATCCTAAGAGGGGAATGGAGACAAAGGGATTGTGGTGTGGCCATCCCCTTTGAGGAGTGATTTCTGTCTCTCCATCTCTCTCTGTTTCTCTGGTGAGCACACACACCCTATAGTAAAAATCTCTGTCAAAAAAAATTTTTTTTTATGGACCATCAGATGGCGTAATGGTTACATTGCTGGGCTCCCACATAGTCAACTGTGGTTCGAGTCCTGGACCCAACAGCTTCAAACGCAACTGAACGCGTGTGTATGCGTGTCCAAGATCCTGAGAGAAGATGGAAGAGAAGAGATTGAGACATAGCCATCCCCCTTGGAGGTGGTTTCTTGCTTTCTGTCTCTATGTCTCTATCTCTGGTGAGCACACACACCTTAAAATAAATGTCTCTCCAAAAACTTTTTTTAAAAAAGAATTTATTTAATTTTATCAATTTAATTTAGTTTATTTATCATTATTATTCTTCTTTAAATTTGCCATAGGGCATGTGGGCTCACCAGAGACGCAACTGAACGCGTGTGTATGCGTGTCCAAGATCCTGAGAGAAGATGGAAGAGAAGAGATTGAGACATAGCCATCCCCCTTGGAGGTGGTTTCTTGCTTTCTGTCTCTATGTCTCTATCTCTGGTGAGCACACACACCTTAAAATAAATGTCTCTCCAAAAACTTTTTTTAAAAAAGAATTTATTTAATTTTATCAATTTAATTTAGTTTATTTATCATTATTATTCTTCTTTAAATTTGCCATAGGGCATGTGGGCTCACCAGAGACAGAGAGGAATAGTGAGAAAGCAAGCTGCCAGGTCTGTGACTCAAACCACAGTCAGCCATGTTGGAGTCCAGCACCTTAAACACCATACCTGGCCCCGGGTGATGTTACTTAAGGGAAACAAAATTACAGATAGATAAGAGGAACAATTTAGGGCCAGCCGGTGGCGTAGAGGTTAAGGTGCTGGATCCCCTATGGCAGACTGAGTGGTCTGAGTCCTGGACCCAGCAGCCTGAAAATCACATGCCAGGAGTATGTGCTTACATGCCCCATATCCGAGAGAAGGGATTGCAGTGTGGCCATCCCTTCTGGGTGGTGATTTCTCACTTTCCCTCTCACTGTATGTTCTTTATAGACACAGGGCAAGCGCCTTGTGGTAAAAATCTAAAACACACACACACACTCACACACTTTATCACTCCATATTATATTCTTGTACTGAAAAATCACAGTGAACCCCATAAACACAACTATTATATATTAATAAAATAAATTAGGCAATAAATAAATACATTGAGGTATATTCACACAACATAATGTGCAAGAAATAAAGACGAAAACCAAAACACCTGCAGCTGTACATAGTAGACCGAGTGCCCTCACAAACATAACATCGGGCTAGAGAAACCAGGCGCAAAAGAGCGATACTGTGTGATCCCATTTCCGTGAAGCAGTACGCAGGCATGACGTGGTGCTTCGTTAGAGTGACTCTGGGTACGGGGGCAGAGGACGGAAAGGCTGCCGTGAGCGAGCACCTTGGCAGAGCAGCCTCGGAGCTCCCCTGAAGCAGGCTGGTTGGGTTGGGCAGAGGAGCGCAGAGGTGAGGGGGTGGCTTGGGCTGGAGAAGGGGCGTGACTGCAGTTTGACAGTGGGTGGTGTGTAGGCCTGGGAGGAGTGTGACATGTCAGAGAGGACGGAGCTCAAGGGACAGAGGAGACCCCAACAGCCACAAACCCATGCAGGAGGTAGGAAAGACTCCAGAGAGTCAGAGGAGACGGATGGTTAAAGGAGAAGCATTCCCGTTCAGCTAACAGAGAAAGGGACGAAGGTGAGAGAGTGGCACCAGTCAACCGTCTGAGAAGCAGGGACCTATGCTGGGTACGTCTTTTGTCTTCATCCTGGGAAGATGTTACACTAGGCTGAACCCAAAGCTTCCCCTGATGGGAGAGAGTCAGAGGATGGGGTTAGAAGTCTAGGAAGCTTCTCGCTCCACTTCTCCTCACAGAGCCCAGTCCCCAGGAAGACTTGGGAGCTCCGTCTCTGCTACACTGACCCGGGTTCTGAGTTTATCTTTAGCACCCAGCACAGAGTGGCCATCCAGAAATGTGGGCCAGGAGTGGATGAGTGTGGAGGTGGGAAGGCTGACCTGCCGAGGGACCGACCGATCCGCAATGCTACTCGGGGCTCCTGCCATTTGCACAGCACCGCCCGTTATTATCTCGCCCTGATAAGCTCCCACACAGCCATCTGCTCCTCTTGCCTCGACCCTTGTAGTGAGGTGTCCCAGAGTCTGCTCAGCAGTGGGAGTGGGGGGTGCAGATAGGACGAGTTCCGTACCCAGTAGGGTGCTGAGGCTCCATCCCCTCTCATACTCCTCCCCTCTCATCCCCCTCAGACATGCAGCTCAGGATCCTGGGGCACCTCCAGGACTGTCTATAAAGCTGTCAACTTGTAGGGGCATAGTGGCTAGGCTTAGCCCTCACCAAGGTGTTGCCATCCCTTCCTGGGTTCCGTCCTCGCTCCCTCCTTCCCATTCCTTCCTGTTCAAAACCCCCTGGAGCGGTGCCCAGCCCCTCACCCATGCCCCACTCCCCAGCTTTCTCACCATCAGGCCCCCTCCAATAAAGCCAGCCATGAGCCAGACTTGCAAGCTGAGGTGATCGGTCCAGGTGGTCTGTCCATTAGGCACCAGCAGGAGGGCATTGGCCACGATGCAGACCAAGGAGAGGGGGATGAGGGAGAGCCCCACGCAGCGGGCACACTTTCCTGTGCACATGATGAGGTGTCAGGAAAGGCAGGCAGCGAGTGAAAGTGAGCTGGAGGTTCCTGGGTCCACAGGAAAACAAGCCTGGACTGAGGAGCAAAGGTCGGAGAAGAGGCGTGGCTGAAACAGGCAGGATCAGAACGATAAGGGAGAGAGGCACAGCACATCGGCACCGCGGAGGTGGAGGTGGGAGAGAGGCTGCAGCCCTGAGGTAGAGGGGAGGATGTGGCGTGGAGGGGGCGGGGAGCATGACACACAAAGGAAGTGACCTGGGTCAGTATCTTCTTCTTTTTGCTCTGCACACACGGCTCCACAGCCCCTCGGTCCCTTACTTGCTTTAAGACTTAGCCAAGCCCCTCGATGTCTCTAAGTCTGTTATTTCATTTGTACGAGGGGGGAGTGATGCCACAGGCCTCTCGTGCTGGTTGTGAGCATTAAATAGGACAATGTGAGAAGTCCTTTGTAAACCAGGAAGTGCCAGCAGCTGTATGGTGGCCTCAGCATTCCTGTTAGTCCCACGGGGAGAGTTTTCCCTAGGAAGAAACCTGTTGGAGACAGAAACCACCCCAGGCCTAAGAGAGAGCCAGAAGGGAAGAATGCAGCAGGGAGTTGAAGGCAACCCCATTCCTGGATGGAACGCCATGAAGACTGCATGGTCAACTGGATAGAGCTCCAGACATGGGCTGTGTCTCAAGATGTTGGACGACGTTCCACAAGCCCAGATGTTGTCTAAATAACGGAGTTAAAGATAGCTATCGACCTTGGACCGGGAATATAGCCTACAAAGAATGTCATGTATATTGTACGTTATTCTTTGTAGTTAAACTCATGATTATACGTGTATGTATTATGTACTATTATATACGAATGTGCTTTACATGCGCCCTATACCAAAAATCTCTCAAAAAAAAAAAAAGTCTGCTACTAGAATTCAAAATAAGCACTGGCTGATTGGTCGAAATATTAAGCTGCATTGTTTAGAGGTATGAAGTAATGGGACAATGGCTAAGATTAAGATGGATATTATGGGACCAGCAGATGGTGTGGTGGATAAGGGTGCCGGACTCCCACATGGCTGACTGTAGTTCAAGTCCTGGACCTAGCGATTTGCTTCCTCACTTTCTCTATCTCTTTTTGTTTGTTTGTTTTGAGAGTTTTTTTGCTACAGGGCATGTGCACTCACCAGAAAGAGCGAGACAGAGAGACAGAAAGCAAGAAATCATCCCCCAGTGGGGATGGCCACACCGCAATCCCTTTTCCTCCATTCTCCCCTTGGGATCTTGGGCACGTACACACATGTGCCCGGCGCGAGTTTAAGCCACCAGGTCCGGGACTCAAACCACAGTCGACTACATAGGAGTTCAGCAACATAGCCCTTATACTAACTGCTGGTCCCCAAAGTAAGTCTTGATGCCATCATGAACCAGTAGGTTCAGTTATGCTTAAAATTTTATCATTTCTTGGGAAGTTTTGATTATATGAACTGTGTATGTGCGTGTGTGTGTCTCTCAACACAGGGTAGTTGGGAGTATAGGCACATCCCACTGTGGTCTGCTGTTATGGAAGGTCAGGAATTACACCTAGGCCTTCCCTGTGACCTTAGCCTACCAAGCAGTACCATGTTTCCAACAGATGCCATGGCAACTGGGCCTTTGTCTACATGTTTATGTTGCTTCTGTCAACTGAAATGTAAACAGTCTTTTGTTATTTTTTGTGTATTTTTGTTTGCTATAGGGCATATGCACTTGCTAGAGAGAGAGAAAGAAAGAGAAGTGAGAACGCACCTCCCAGGGGAGATGGCCATGCCACAGTCCCTGCTCTAGTCTCCTCTTGAGATTTTGGGCTTGCACACACACACTCACCTGATGTGTTCTTCAAGCTGCTGAGTCTGAGGCTTGAACTGCACAGATGACCTTGTGGGATCCAGTCACCTTAACCACCATACCACTGACTGGCTCAAGAGTCTTTTTTGTTTATTTGTTTGACACAGAGATTTATTTATTTATTTTGCATATGTTTTACTATTCATCAAATTTATTTCTCATTTTCTCTCCATTTGCATTTCTTAATTTCATATACTTTATTCAATAGCCCTCATGGAAGACAAGAAATACATGTCTTCTTTTCCATCCATGGTTTTATTGCCTCTGTTTTCGACAGGACAGTTTCCTTAGTTTCTTCAGGTGCACTACTATTAGGATCATTGAGTACCTGTTCATGATGACGTGTTGGAGTTCTGGTTCCCATTGTTGATTTACTGTGTCTTCTGGTATAGGGTCTTTTTCTCGAATTTCTGTCCTTGTGTAAAAGGGCTGATAAACTGTGGATACCTGGGAGTCTTTCTTCTCCAAATGCTCATGGTTTGATTCTGTAACGGTGCATGCTACAACTCCTTTAGCAGCCCTGCTGGCCCGAGAGCTGCCCCTGTGCCCAGCAACCACAGTGTGAGCCACGCACCACTCCCGGTGGGCGGGACATGGTGGTGATGCAGCCGCCAGGGCTTCACTTCCTCGCAGGCAGCTGTCTTGCGATGGCTGCAGGCTCCCGAGATTAATTTATTAAGTCCTTGTGATGGACAAGGGCTTGTGGTGGAGACTACAGGGATTCATGGTTGCATGACTGAGAGCCAGATGGTCTCAGGAACAAACTGAAGAGCTAAGGCCCCTGTAGATTTACCCCTCACCCAGCTGGGTTCTGTGACCTGGTGGTGGTTGAAGGAGCCAGATTCCACATGGCTGAGCATGGAGATTGAGTTCTGGTCCCAGCAGACTGAAAAACATGCCAGATGCATGTGCGTGTGCCCCAAATCCTGACAGGATGGAGAAATGGAGCAGAGAGGATTGCAGCGTGAGGACATCCCATTGAGGAGTACTTTCTCTCTCCCAGTCTCTCCATCTTTCTCCCGTGAGTGTGCATGCTTTCTGGCCATTAAAAAACAAAACAAACAAACAAACAAAACAAAACACTACCCCTGGCCAAATTCCATGGACAAGATAAGGCTAGCAGGGAGCGCTGCAGGACTTCAGAGTGCTTGTGAGGAAAGTGTCATGGGACATTTAGCCAGTCAGTGACTTCCGATGTAGCTTCTCCCAGTGGTTCATTTCTCTCAGTGGACCACTACAGGGATGTGGAAATGGAGACAACTTAGCACTCAAAGTGAATGCCAGGAGGCCAGCAGATGGCATGGGATTGGGGTGCTGGACTCCCACATGACCAACGATGGTTTGAGTCCCAGAGCTGATGGCTTGCCTTCTCACTTTCCCTCTCTGTCTCTCTGGTAAGCACATGTGCCCTATAGAAAAACTGAGAAAAAAAATAGTAACAATAAACAAAATTAAAATAAACAAAATAAACAAAAATAATAAACAAAATTTTAAAAAAGAATTACTTTATTTAACTTTATTTATTTATTTATTCATGATTTGACCAGGTCCAAGACTCGAACTGCCCTTGGCCATGTGGGAGTCCAGCGCACTTAACCATCAGCACTCCTTTTTTAAAAAAATTAGTTCTCAGGCCCAGCTAATGGTGTAATGGTTACATTGCAGGACTTCCATGTAGTTGACTGTGGTTTGAATTCCGGACTTGGTGGCTTAGGACTCAGGCCAGGCATGTGTGTGTGCGCATGCCCAAAATCCCAAGAGGAAAATGGAGGAGAAAGGATTGTGGCGTGGCTATCCTCCCTGGGGGAGTGATTTCTTGCTTTCTGTCTGTCTCTGTCTGTCTTGTGAGTGCAAAGGCCCTATAATCAAAATCTCTCTCTCTAAAATAAAAATTAGTTCTCACTGTTGCAGTCCTCCTGTTTCAGCCTCCCAGCCGGGACTATAGGCGTGCACCAACACTCCTTTATTTATTATTTATTTTAAATTTAGTAAAGGGTATGTGTGTGCTTGCTGGAAAGAGACAGATAAAGAAAGAGAGGGAAAGTGAGAAAGTAACTCCCTTAGGGGTCAGTCATGCTGCAATCCCTTCTCCATTTTTACTTTTGGAATTTTGGGTATGCATGCACAGAATTTTTAGAATTATTTACTTTACTTTATTTATTATTATTATTATTTTTCTTTTTACTTTTTTTTTTTTGAGAGATTTTCACTGTAGGTCGCGTGCGCTCGCCAGACAGACAGAGAGAGACATAGAGACAGAAAGCGAGAAATCACCCCCCAGGGGGGATGGTCACGCCGCAATCCCTTCTCCTCCATTCTCCTCTCGGGATCTTGGGCACGCACGCACACGCGCCCGGCGTGAGTTTTAAGCCACCGGGTCCGGGACACGAACCGCGGTCGACTACGTGGGAGTCCAGCGACATAGCCATTACGCTAACTGCTGGTTCCCCTATTATTATTATTATTTTTGAATTTGCAATAGAGTACTTGTGCTCACCAAAAAAAGGAAAGAGAGAGAGAGAGAGAATGAGAGAGAGAGAGAGAGAAAGAGAGAAAGTGAGAAAGCAAGCTACCAGGTCTGGAACTTAAACTTTAGTTGACCACTGGGGGTCCACTGTCCCAACCACCCCATCATTTGCTGGACCCCGACCCAGAATGTTTTTTAAAACTACTGAGTCGGGACCAGCAGTTAGCGTAAAGGCTATGTTGCTGGACTCCCCTGTAATCGACTGCAGTTCAAGTCCCGGACCCAGTGGCTTAAACTCACGCCAGATGCGTGTGCATGTGTGCCCAAAATCCTGAGAGGAGAATGAGATTGCGGTGTGACCATCCCCCCTGGGGGGTGATTTCTCACTTTCTATCTCTCTGTCTCTGTCTGGCAAGCACAAGCTCCCTATAGCAAAAACCTCTTAAAAAAACCCCACTGAGTCAAGTCAACCTACGCAGTTGGCCATGTGGATCTAACTGCCTTAACACCTGTGCCACCAGCTGGCCCCCACCTGGCTCTATTTTAAACAGGGTCTTATACTGTTTTCCAGGCCAGCCTTGAGCTTGTGATCCTTCTGCCTCAGCCTCCCTGAGCTGCTGCTCTTGTAGGCTTATGCTACAATGCCAAGATTGGACCAAGAACTGAACCTGGACCTCACATGTGGTCCCAGACTGTAACACAACATCCTTTTTTTCTTTTTTCCTTTCAATTTATGCTGTAGGGTATATGCACCTGCCAGAGGGTGAAACAGAGAGAAAGAGAGAGGGGGGGGGAAGTAAGTCCACTTCCCTCGGGGGGGTGTGTGTGGCCACA